TCCTCTGTTGTGGTACCTGCCTATTGGTTTAGGTGGTAAAGTGGTGCCACTATCTTGAGTGGCGAATTGGGTGCTTGCTAGCTTGATGGTCTAATAAGTTCCTTTCTGGGCAAGTGGCCTGGTGTCACATGACCAACCTCTGACAACTTCCAAATAGGGCAAGTGGCCAGTGTCACGTGACTAGGTGGCTGAATCATGGGCGCTTAGTGGTCCAATGGTAGACACAGTCATATTTGCAATGTATGTGGTGGTATTGTGCTGTTTGTCCAAGTATCCACTTTGTGAGACCAATATGAAGGTTGGCATCTTAATAACCACTCAAATGAGGACTTTAATGGTGCAAAAAGAAAGGTGCCACCTAATACTGTGACACTACCCTCACTTCAAGGTTCAGACTCTGGATGAACTGAATAAATGCTGAGGTAAATAGTACCCTCGCTTCAGGTTCTGACTTTCAGGGTGGGATGGCAAGGTGTGTGAATGGCATTCAAGACTTTTGCTAGCAGCAAAAAGGGGTGATGCAGTTTAATGACTTGCTCAGGTAAATGGTGCACTTGTGTGGCTAACAGTTCTTGGTCCTAGTTATCTGATGTCACAGACATTGCTATTGGCTGCTGTTGTTCGAGATGTAGTGCAATAGGCTTGCAGTTTAAAAGACATGCGCTAGGTCATACGCGGTGCTCAAAGCTGTCAAAGCACAAGCAAATAACTCTAGGTATTTTTCACTTGACTCAAATATTGAACAGTTTAGTGACGTGCTAAGGTCGTCGTGCTTGCAGTTTAATTATCGAATTAAAAGATAAGGGTTGTGGATGAAAAACATAGTGTATGATTGCGGATGCAATCTTCTTATCCTCGGTCTTTAGTCATGACCTCGTGCTTCTGTGTTACAGCTGCTGAGTCAGAAATCAAGTCATGATATTGTTTGCCCCCACTGAGATTCGAACCTGCACTCGTTGGAAGGCGAGCGGGCCCTGAGTGATAGTGTCAGGTGATCTCGAGGGACTTGAACATCATGGCTTAACCCCTAAGCCACTTGAATGGGTGAGATACCAGGTTCGAATCTCGACCAGTATCTGTTGTTTATTATGTAATCAAGTAATTTGTTGTGATGACATAATCAGATGGCGTGCGAAGTTCATGGTGTGTGCCTAGTCATGTGTCTGAGTTGTTGGAGCAATGACATATTTTAATTTGATCGATCGATCATGATCAAAACTTGATCTGTGATTGAGTTGAGATAGACTTTCAAATCGATCTGTGATCTTGAATGACATCATGGGGTGGTGCTCAGAGCTGCCTAGTGATGCAGTTTCATTAACGTGTTCAGGTCCATGGTGGCGCTCAAAGCTGCCAAATGATAGGATGCTCTTGGTCAGAGGGCTATTCCAAATGTTGTGTCTTGTACCCAGGAGATTGCCTATGTCTGCTAGGATTTTTCATAGGATAGCTGCCATGTTTGCATTGTTGTATGCAAGTAGATGTGTTCTCCAACACTGTTCATACTTGTTGGCAATGGTCTCTCGATTTGCCCTTTAGGTTGGCATGCTATATAGGTGAAAGGTTTGCCAGGAAGGTAAAAAGTTTAAAAAAATGTCACTTTGGGGTTTTTGTAAATTTGAGGCAATTGTTGTTGATGTGCCTGTCAGCGCTCGACGTTCCACCCTTTGGACATGACCGCTCTTCAGCATTTCAGGCGTAGTTCACACGTGCACATCAAAGGTGATTAACCTTCAGTTATCTCCTATATTACCTCCCCCTTGCCAGGTCCCTCCCGGGACTGACGCGGCATGAGCGATATTGATATTGAACAAGACTGTGGGACACAAAAAGATAAGGGAGGGTGGGTGGGAAAAAAGCCTATGCACTTGTTTGAGGAATAGGTAGTGGAGGCATCCCATAGCGAGTAAATTACTGATTTTTGTGCAATATATAGTAATTCTGAGACCGCTTCTGGGTAAAAGGATTCCCAATATCCCATTGTGTGTGCCAAAATGACTCCCTAAAAATTGGATTATCTGTTGTGGATGACTACAACTAAGTAAAGATCTATTTCTGCCAGCAGTTTACAGTCAAAAGACCACCGTGCTCTTGGAGATCTTATGGCCAATCAGGATGATTGATTCAATGGTAGTATGCCTTTAGATATCCAAAATATTTGTTATATATCTATAGGTGACCAATCCTATATACAAATGATATATAAAAGTAATGATAGTTTAATGTCATTGCGAACGCTGGGTGCGATAACTCATAGTATTTTCGCATATAAGGAGCGATAACTCATAGTATTTTTGCTATAGTGATAGTTTAATGTCATTGCAGATGCAAGATGTATTATATAAGCGATAACTCGTAGTATTTTCGCATATGAGGGGCAATAACTCGTGATATTTTTGCAAATATTGCCCATATTTTTGAACGGAATGTTGGTGGGGCTGCACAAAGGTTCCAATATCGAATGTTGCTGCAGCGCTATCCTGGTGAGGGAGTGGCTTACACGAAGGTGCCTGCTACCAAGTCTTGAGGTAGGCTGACGGCGTTAGAGGTCGATGGATGGAGTATGATGTCAAAAAAGGTGCGCCCCACACCTAAGTTTCTTTGGGCTGAAAATGCACAAGTGAATAACTCTTGGTCTTCTTCGCTTGGCTCAAAAATTAAACAGTTTTATTTAAGGTGGTCATGTTTAGGACCAATAAAATCACCCAGCCAGCAGGAAGCTGGAGAGGTGTATGGAGATTCATTATAATGTCACAAAGCACCAAAGCACTTAACCCAATTAAGGGCAAGTCTGCTTTTGTGACCTGCACAAATGATCCCACATAAAAAGCCTGCCACAAGGGCTAGGCTGAGGA